AGAGAGAGAGAGAGAGGATTTAATCAAAGCGAATGCGGATAAACACGATAAGTTAATCTTAATTTATAATGTAATTCTCGTTCTTTAATTTAAAATTTAATCAACTTCAAATTTATTTTCCCGGCAAAAATTTAAATATAAATATTGAGAAGAAGAGGACAAGATCTTTTAAAATATCAATGTATTTCGATACAATGATTAAATGAATTGGACGAGAGACAAAGAATTTCGAATATATTCCGATCGATATTGAAAATAACTCGCGAAACTCGTGAATCGTAAATTTCATCCTGTTAATCTCGTATTTAAAAAAAAACTCGATCCCGAAACTCTTGGCGATCCCGAAGTTCCGGCGCGGGTTTCGCCCGCGGGTTCGCGCAAAGTGTTTCGATTAAAAAGCGTTTTGCAAAAAGATTTACGGCTCCGGGATGTTTTTGCATCCCGCAACGAGATTCCTCCTCTTTCGTGGTAAAGTTGAAATATATACGGGGAGTGGTGCATACAAATCCGCCATTTGTTTCCGCTTCGCTCCTTCTTATTGCGAAAGTTGTGCGCACGAACCGCGGCCGTGAAACCGAGTATCGGGTTTACGAAACGACCGGTCGTTCGATCAAGTCGTAAATTCATCGAATCGAAGGGATCGATAAGAGAAAGTCGCATGGATTAATTCGAAACGGTGTTGCTCCCGCGCATGTTGCGAGATTTTAATTTAAGGAAGAATTTAACTTTTTCCTTCGATCGAATCCAGAAATAGTTTAAAAGTGGAGGATTTTTTTTAAAAAAATACATACTTTATAGGATTTGGAATAATAGGTGTTTATCAGTACAATTGATAGATGATTGGTTGTATTGCAGATTTGAGTTGAGTTTTTAAAACATGTTGCAGAGAAAAAAATAGTATAGATATCTTTTGGGATTGTAGATATTTACATTTAACTGTTAAATGGTTTTGAAAAATAAGCGTTGCTTTCGAAAAATATTTTTTACGCCAAATTCAGTATTCGTAACGGTTAGGCGTGTATATTGCGAGGTATTTTTTTTTTTTTTTTTTTTATTCATATTGAAACATTTGGGTTATAGGGTGGAAAGATTGTAAAACAAAAAAAGAAAAAAAAATAATAATTTATCGAGGAAGGAACGCTCCATTTATTCGCATATATCGATATTTTATATCCCAATATGGACACACTTGGATACACAATGCACAGAATTATTACGAATAGAAAATATATAGATACATTTTTGAAAATACTGAATATAGATAAAGTAAAATACGTCGTAAAATTTATTTAAGAACTTTTCAGACAATTTTAAACAATTTTGTTAAAGTTGTATCATGCGAAATGTGATTTTTGCATATGTAATCCTGGCAAAAATTACTTGTCAACTATTAATTTTTTAATTCAAATGAGATAATATCACGCAAATATTATAGATTATATAACGTTAAAATTGGCAAAATTGATACGTGTTTCTAGAAATATCATTTATTACGTTATAAAACTAAAATTTATTTAACCTAAATTTTGACGTGTACATTTCATATATTTCCACGAAAATATTTTATAAAACTTTAGAAAAAAGAAACCTCCATTCGATCTTCAATATTCAAAATTTTACCACACAAGAAATACATAAATATCTATTTTTCCAACATTTTGTTTTTGAACACACACATACACAGGAAAGGACGACCGATATAAAAACTATTTTCGCAGAGATTCGAATAAATCTCATTCCTAGTGTCATACGAATACTCGCGAAATTTTGCGTGGACACATAAGCGGAACGATTTCGTGATAAATTTTCAAACAGTCGGAAAACGGACAAGTCGAAGCATGAATCCATTTCCGTGGTCCCGTTTATTTATGCATATGAAGCGAGTTAACTATTTTTTTTTTTTTTTTTTTATACGTCAACAATTATTCGCATCTCTGGCTCACGGGTCGTTTCGCTTCTAGACTCCTAGAAAACTCGTTTCGGACTGTTTTATTCGCGGTTCCATAAACCGAATAGAACCGGTATTATTATTTTTTTTTTTGTTCCCCTTCCCCACGACATTTTGCTTCACAGTCGGCTGAGATTATTTGCACGAAATTAGCCGCGGATTAATTCTTATTATGACATACGTGCACGATATAAATCGCGGTGATACGTATATTCGAGATTATTGGGGCAGAGAAACGTGTTTCTTTTTTCTGTTTCCAGTAAAGTAGTTTCTCGTGTTTCGTTAATCGCGTTATTAATCCATATTCACTAGTGAAAACTAGTCGTTCGTTTCTATTCCTTCTATTCTAATTTATCAAATTATATGCGTTGGGTAGTATATTGAATATATTTAACGTTCTTGATATTTTGATCCCTCAAAATTAAGAATGGCCAATAGACATTCAGTATTAATCCTGTTTAAATCTGTGGGAACATTTCTTCGATCAAATTAACGGCGATAATATTATAAAACGATATTAATAAATTAATAAAATAAATCTTACTCATTATACGCGAGATTGTATCTCTTTCTCGTAACCGCAAAAAGGGTTAAACACCCCCTTTCATCCTATAAGTATACGGGATGAATTTTAATCGCCCCTGGAAAAGCTCGACGGTGCAGCAAAAAGGAGAACATCGCGGAATCATGCTTATCTCTGGTCGTCTCGTTCCAACGGAATTCCTCATCGAGGAAATACAGTTTTAATCCCGTCCCTCCATTTACCGTTATCTCTCACGCGGCTCCACCTTAATTACAATTCTCTAATCGACTGTCATCGTCCACTGATTCACTTATTCATCTCCCGTCTTATATTTTTCTCGCAGATCCGTGCCGTCGTTTCGAGCCCGCCCCATCGTCGAAAGATGACTCTCGCGAGGAGGGATCATCGAATCATCGAATCCACCGTTCCTCGACGACGTTTCAATATCCTCCGTAGAACCACAACCAATTATCAGGGATTAACTTCGAGGGATATATAATATCGAGGAATAATCTTGGAGATAAGGAAGCTTGCTCTCGAGCAGAGGCGGGCGGATCAAAAGGAATTCCGGATCATCGAGAGAGAGAGAGGATCAATGAGATGCTAGGTCCGCTGTGAAAATGCTGGTCGACGATTGCGGCAGCACGATGGGGTGGACTTCGGCCAGTGTGCGCGGGGGTTGGTCCACCCCTGGCGGCTGTAGGAATTCCGCGATCAACTTCGGTGGAAGCGTGCCCTCCCTTCACCCTGCCGGCTCGATAAGATCGCTGCGATCCCAGCATTCTATGCAGGTATTAAAAAATAGGATATTTGCTTTTACGATCGTTCGAGGAATCGTGGATTAAGTTTGTATCGATCTGTTGGGAATCGATAACGAATGAGAAATTGTTTGTCTATACTTATATTTTATTTCTTTTATATTTTTTATTACGTATATTATAAACACTAATCGTTTCATGATCAATTTTGTGCCCTAATTCGGATAGTTCTTCGGTAGTTAGAGTTTAAATTTTTATTTCTGCAGATGAACATTCACATTTAGAATAATTTCGAGAAATTATTATATTGGATCAAAAGAAATAGGAGTTTGCTTTTATGATCTTGCGGATCCTTCGTGTATCGGTAGTTGGAAATTAAACTTCTATTTCTGTAGATGGACATCCATTTAGGAAATTTTGAGAAGTTATTACATTTGGTTAAAAAAAGTAGCGTGTATAATTTTGTGCGTTGCGAAAAACAAAATAAGGATCGGTAGATAAATCTCGTTCTAATGGGATTCGTACGGTACAATGATTCGATTATCGATGCAAAAGTCGATGTTCGTGGAGCATTAAGCTCTCGAGTGGAAATCGTCGATCATTTCGCTAGAATTGGCAGCAACGTTCCTCGCCTAATCGGTATTCCGCGCTCGCGACACTTTCACACCCGTCAATGGATATCCAACGACGTTTAATTTCCAGGATGCGCCGTCGATCCTCGCAATTTATCATGGATTCTACTTTGCACTGCAGACGTTTTCTTTTTCTTCAGGGTATGCCGGAGACACCGCGAAGATGCATGCACTGCCACCCGATACACGTGCCGAGCACCCCGAGCAATTACGTTCACCACCCCATGCAATATTACACGCCGAGCCACTGCCCTGAGCCCAGGAATGGCGTGTACACTCCTCATCGGGGCAATTCTTACCACGGTGGTGAGTCCTTTTTCTCAATTCGTAATCGTCGAGTCTTCAACTGTTTTGATTTAGAAATTTAAGTTTTTTAGAAACTTTGAAATTATGAATTTGCGATTGTGAAACATTCATGAGAAAATTTTTTAACGATAAAACGAACGTAGTAAGGAAGAAACTTTAATATTTTCCAATCCTTTTCGAATCGCGATTCATTTTTATAATAGCAGGTAACGATCCTTCGTTCATATTTGTGTACAAAGCAACTTGTAACAGGATTTTAATATTATTGAAAATTCGGGTTCGACAACATTAAAATCAGAGATTCCGGGGTCTTCATTACCGAGTTCAAAGACTTCGAGTTTCAAGGCTTCGAGGATTACGTTATTACGCTTTATAAAGACTTGTAAAATATCGCTATCCGGCCTTACACGCTTTAATTCCGCGACAGGGAAATTATTTCTATTAAATTTTACGATCTTAAGGCACACTAATAAAGTTTTATAATCTGTTCATTATCATCTCGAGTCCCAAGATAAATTAAAATTATGCATTAGTAAATATTATGAATTTGAATATCCAACGTATCTCTCTGATCTCTGTTATAGCGAAATTTTATGGTTAAGCACCTTCGTTTTCGCATTTCACAATTTCCCAACTACCGTAATTACGTTTATGCTGATCTTTATCATACTCTGGAGTGCAACGCGCGCGCACACACACATACACGATACTAAACACGATATCATTACGGCGGAACAAGTAGCATCCTCCTCGAACAAAATCTCCTGCGCAGTGAAACGATATATAAAATATTTTCACTTATTTTCTTGAGGAAGGAAGAAGTTTAATTTAACACATTTTGCATTTCATTTGATTTCTCGAGGGCATCATTCAGCCAGATTGCGCAAGTTTCCTCGTAAACTCGCGCTACAAGAACGACACCATCCACTCCGGTCCGCGAGGTAAACTTGCTCATAATCTTCTGTTTTCGTTCTTGCCTCATTGCTTGCTGTGGCACCAGCCTAATCCATTTCTGTCAAGTTTAGAGAGTACGTTCAATATTCAACAGCAAATGGATATCAAGAGCAAGCAAATGAGAAAAAGAAATGGTTATAAATCATCGTATCGCAAAAAGATACTTGTAATATTTTAAGAATAATTTAATTTTAAAGTTGGCGAACAACGATTTTTCCTTCTACTTCGCTCTTAAGAATTTCTTCAATATTCGATATCTTTCTATAATTTTAATTTTACACGCGATCCAAAAAATTGGGCTGGGTTATTTAAAATTAAATTTCATTTAGAACATTGGCATCCATCAAATTTCGCGTTGATCGATTAAACTAATATCATTCGGAATAGATAGATCTCAAGGATGCGTTAGAATAAATTCAATATCGAAGAAACGAGTTTAGTTTCTTTATTTCGTGCATCAGGTTTCCCTCTTTTCTATCATCGTAAAGCAAAGGAGACTATCCAGTAATATCCGTTCTATAAACTAACAGCAATAGCCTCGTTACCCGGTGCAGGAGCAATTCGAGCGAAATTAAGTTTAGATAAATCGGATAGCAAGACAGATATATCGGTCGGTATATAGATTTCGTTGCCTCTAAAACGGGACCAGCATCTGTTCTATCCGTTCTATTCGTAATCTTCTCTTAGAAATGTTGCTCGTGAAATCTTGTCTCTTGATGCGCTTTCTTCCATTACGGTCTCATGATTTCCTTTCGAATAAATTATTGGAATTAACTTGGTAATTGTGTTTCACCATTACCTCCGATTTCCTGATAATGCTCGATTCTCTTTTCTCAGAGTTTTAATTCAGAGAAAACGTTTCTCCTTTGAGGATACGAATTAAAATAAATAACTTCATTAACGTTCCAAGAAAATGTTTCAATAGAATTTCAGTATCTTAAAATTCACAAGTGATCCAGCTGAAAGTTTTTCACGCATCTTCTTCGTACGAAAGAATAGAAACGAAATTCCATCCATGTCAGGAAGAATAACAGAATCGCGATACGTTCTAATGAAAAATATCCGGAGAATGTTTCGCGAGTGATCAGCTACGAAAAAGGGAAAACAATTCAACAAGTTTCGTCTGTAAAAAAGAATTTGACGAAGAAAAGAAAAAAAAAACGAGCGACAACTCGAGGGAAATTCACACCACGATTACCATCTCTCGGCCATGCGAGATAAAACTTCGCGTTTCGAACCGCGTGTTAATTTCGCGTTGATGTCATTTGCAAGGCAACGAGTCACAATTTTCACAATAAATAAATTCAGCGTTACACGATAAACACTTGCACCTGGACAAACTGGTCCGTGTTTGTATTGGCATTCCCCCGGTGGGAATCGATCTCGAATCAATAACGGTGTGTATCGTTCGTTTGTATTATGTAGATGAGGCCGCGCGCTCGAAATATCCTCCACGATACGAAACTTTCGGATTTTTCGCTCGATTTTCACCGATTCACCATTCACCCTTCTCCCATTTTCGTGGCCGATCGTTTCGTTTATTCTCCTCGATAATCCGATTTATCCCCCTTTTTTTAATTGCATCGCGGAATCGGAGGTCGAACGATAATGCGTAGCGTTTTTCGCGCGGAGATTTTTCTTTTTTTTTTAGATTATTTCGTCCAATTTTGAAAATATATTCGTTGAAATTTTCGTAAAGCGTACAATTTTTATAATCGAAATGGTGTTTCGTAGTAGAATAAGGCTCGTCAAAAGATAGATCGGTCACAAATCGTACGTAGAGCGTCAACCAGGTAGAATGGAGCAATTATGAGCAGGCAAGTAGAGCAGGTCGATTTAGCAAGACGAGTAGAACAAATGGCTGTGGTATTCGGATAAGTAACGAGGGTTGGTTACGGTTGGAGAAGTGGATTAAACTAGTGGATTAGATTCGAACAAAGTGCAAGTGTCGAGTCAACTATTGTTAGACAAACTTATTAATTTAAAATCTTCATTCTCGTTGTACTACTACATCGAATGTCTGATTATATCAACAATTGTGCCGTTAGATGCAAGGAGGATCTCGATAACAGTCAGTTTTTATATCTTTAGAAAAATAGGGATTAATCATTTGCATCGATTTACCACAATGTTTCGTTATATATTTCGTCAAAAAAAATGCTTTATGAAAAACTATATTATTTTATAAAAAATTGGAACCAATTGAATTTTTATGGGTTTGTTTCAATTATATTTTAATTAATTATGTTTTAATAATAAAAATAATTGATTCATTATGCTTTTCATTCTACGGCTTTTCAGATAAACTTTAAAGGTATGGGTGTACGTTGTAATTTCGAACAACAATTTGAAGGAATTATAAAAAAGAATCTGATTAATTACTCTAAAAAGTTATAAATCGGTTAAATTGTTGCACAATTTTCCAAGATAATCGTGCTTACGTACGTTCGTCTCTCAAAAAACAATTATCCCGAAAATGGCACGATTCCGGGATATCGTTTCACAGATGGCGACGTTTCAATCTCGAAAGCCACTCTGGAACAGCTAAATCATCCTTCGATTCATCTTTCAACGTTGAGGCTTTTCGTTCGAACGTCTCGAACGAGACGCGCGCGTTTGTCCCTTCGTTCTTGTTGCCGATCGATTTTTGACAAATATCCCGTCGTGCCGCGTACATATTTCAAACGGTGGCTTCGATCAGAATCGCCTGTTTTTCTTCCTTACTCCACGGATGGGCCGCGAAATGAAAATACGCCGCTGGATTTTCTCCGTAATTTCGCCAGTATTTTGCGACTTTATCGCGGAATCGAAGCGGTGGATATTGCGGTTTCCGGAACGGAATCCACGTTTCGAAAACTTGTTCAAACCTGCCGATAACTTTTCTTTTATAGTGCGAAATCAACGTTACTTTATATGTAAACAGTTTTGCGCAAGTATTTAATAACAATTCGTTTTATTTGTTCTATTCAAAGTGGATGATATTGCGAACGATTTGTTGAAATATCCTGAACGATAATATCATCTTATAAATTATAAAAGATATTCGCGCTCAATACAGCGAGCCTCTATTTTACAAACGCGAATTTCGCATATAATTCGAATCTGATTCAAATAAATTAATTTCCAGAGTGTTGTATTTAATTACACGGTTAATCGATAGAGATAATGTGGCAATATTTGAACGTGTAAAATAACATATTCGATGATAATCGCATATCCAAAAATCTCTTTTATACCCGTTGCAATTTAATTAAATTTGGATCTAATCATCGATTATCTCCAACGAATCCAATGCCGGCCAAAATATCTCGTTCGAGCTATTTACACCATATTCCAACATCTTCCAGTTAATTTAATATCTCCTCGCGCGGAGATCGAGAAAATTATCGAGAAGAATCAAAACGATTCGTTCTATTATATCTCTTTTTATAAAATTAACTCTCCACTCTCTCCATCCATCATCCATACTTTAATCTCCATCCGATCCAACGCGTATCGCACACCATCCGTTTCGAGATATTTGATATTCCCCCAGAGAGAGAAAGAGAGGAGGAGGAGGAGGAACCGTTTGAAAAATTAAACGAGCCGTCTCACCGTAATTCTTCGTATCCATATTTTTCACCCCAGAAAAAGGTAGAAGGAGAAGGGTTATAAAATCACGAAATTCACACCCGGGCAAAAATCTCTCATTATTTTTGCATCAAAGCAACCGGTAAGTTACGACCAGCCAGTAGTCAGATCTTAGAAGGATGAATCGTAATTTCTTTTTCGCCGGCCCCACGATTTTTCCAACTTTCGACTCCTTTTTCACGCAATGGTCCCCTCCATTTTTCACGAGCCAACCCCATTTCTCCTCCACGCTCTCTTCTCCTGGTCGGGGTTAGTTTCGCGGGTAATTAAGAATATTTCGTTCCTTTGACCGATTTCTCGTTGTTGTGCCCGATCCATCCAGGGGAGGGGGGGGAGGGGGGAGGGGAGAAGAAAAATTTCCTCCTCGCCTCGCGTTAATGAGACTTCCGTTCCGCGAGGAAAATCGAGAAAAGAGCATTATTCAGGGCAGAGTCGATAACTTGGAAAGGAAGATACGGATTTCGTCGGAAGGAGATAAATTGAAGGAAAATATC